CAGTTGTTATTGGTGGCATACACTTTTGCCTGAGACTCATAGTTTTTTGCATTTTTTGTCCTTCAATCCCTCAATCTTATCTAGTACTTAAAGATCATGTTTTCTTTGTTGGAGGTTCGCAATCCATCTCAAAGTCACAACACGGAGAACACAGCGTTCTGGCGTTCGTTTAGGCACCTCACGGTGTTGAAGGACGATGGTTTAGGTTTGTGTGACGAACGACAATCACCCAACAACGGCCGACGCTCACAACTTGGATCCCACCATTAACAAAAAGCAATATTATGGTTGTATAACTTTTCAGATGTTTTAATTCAGTATTTTTTTTCAATATTCTTCCAAAATTCAACCACTATATTTCCCTAAAAATCAAATAATACCGGTTTTATGTATTTCCGTATTAAACCTGTAGTCAATTCATGTTCCAGGGCCACTTGGTTTAGCCGTGCATTATCAGCCAATATACCATGGATTGCATATGCAAATTTTGTGTTTGGACCAATCAAATCAATGGATTAACACCATCAATATACTGGTATAATATAATGTAATATAACCAACTGAAACTTGTAGAGCGAACTAAGATGTGTAGAGTTTGGTTTTCGAACACTCATCACAACTGACAGTAAGGAAATCTAAAATTCACTGATTTTTTTTTATTTATTTAATTTACACATCACCTGCAGTATAGTCAAAATGTAAGCATATTATAATATTATTATAATTATTTATGTATTTTTCCATTTTAAAGTGTTACTTTCAAATTACAATGTGTGAGCTATGAGCTGGGTAGCACATGACAAGTTATGCATGATTTGGGTAAACATGACAGGGTTAAAATGAGACCATCTTAATTTACATGAATATACAGAGGTTTTGTTGAATCAAAAAATCATAATTGGTGGTATGCTTCTTTTTTACTCTGGGCATTAGCTTATGAACACATGGCTAGAAAGTGACAGCACCCTCAGTGTTAACAACATGAAAATAACTGAAAATAATACTTACATGTGATACATAAGCAGACTTAGCAACATTTCGGATCAATTTAGCGATAGGCGACGTCTGTATTAAAATAGGAGATGTGGCTAATATAACAGCTGTAAATGTCGTACTTGGTTTGAAACCAAGGGATAATGTAAAGAATGGAAAAGACGAAAGACTATCAGAATAATCTGGCATCATAATCAACGCGCCAGGCGGCTGATTCCAAACAAAGTTATTTCTTGCGTTATGTTTGTGTACTCTTTCTTGGATGATCTGGAAATAAAGGCAAAAATATGATAAACATGAATATGCAATTCAATTACGAATGTGACGTTAATGACTATATTACGGTGAAAAGCAACGACAGACAACTCTGCTGGCTATTTGAAAGTCTAGAAAAATACTTAAGATACTCCGACTAGTTTTTGAATAATAAGCTCAAATTTTCGCATTATTACCAATTATCAATTCAATATGGCCGCCAGAATAGAACTTATGATAGAGAGATCGAAAAGTCAATCTCCTTGGAAACAACCCCCCTCCATTTTTTTATTTAATGGAATTCTTTCAAAAAAGATTTTGCAGTGCATTTTCATTTGCCATACTTTCACTGGTTATAGCCACTTCATACTTGCAGAGGTAACCAGTGATGTGTTGATCAACAAAAAAGACATAAATCTAAGAAACTGAACAGGGCATGAATATACCAGTATCAGACAATGCGAGTCATTTCACTGTCTGTTGATATTTGGGGGGAGGGGGGGTTAGTTTAGTCAATACAAAGCTGGCATAAATCACAATACATGCAAACATAGTTAGTCATGGCAGTCCGCCAATTTAGGTTTCAAAATCCACATGACATGGGTGAGTACACTCCAGAACTTCACATGGGTTAAATTATCACAAACGAATTAAAAGCCAGAGTTTGAGTAAGTAAATTAGAATCCTTGTGACTAGTGTGATTTGAACCATTAAGGCATCAGTATTTCACTAATGCTGCTTAGAAGCTAAATGTTCAGTATCCTCATCACAAACAATGAGATCAAGAACAATCTAACCCTTTAGGCACAGGAGAATATACAATGCCGGCGGTCAAATTAAGATACTGAGCCCATGCATAATTGACTCTTGTAACCCCAAATACTTACTCTAAACACACTCACTTAGAAACATATCAACAAGAATTACACAATCCAATTGGCCATTATACTTCGTTCACAATTTTTACAAACAACAATTCAGTTATCGCTGACTGTATTTCATCTATTTAAAGCAACAGTCTTGATTTCTCATGAGGAATGGCTAAGTTTACACTTGTCAACCAACTTA